AGGGCCTGATTCTAAAACTTGATTTTGAAAAAACGTACGATTTTGTCAGGTGGGAGTGTTTGCTTTCTATGATGAACAAATTTGGTTTTGGGGGTAAATGGCGAAATTGGATTAAGGAGTGCCTAACCTTATCCCGACTTTCAGTCCTTGTCAATGGGTCTCTAACTCTTGAATTCACTCCAGAAAAAGGTCTCAGGCAAGGGGATCCAATGTATCCTTTCCTCTTTAATCTTGTAGCTGAAGGTTTAAATCTGTTGTTGCAAAAGGCAAGATCAAGAGGCCTAATAACAGGGGCTGTGATAGGTCATGGTGAAGCCAAAACAACGGTAACCCATCTTCAATTTGCTGATGATACGATAATTTTTTGTAAAGGAGGTGGGGAGGAGGTGATGTTAATTAAAAGGATTTTAAGATGCTTTCAGTTAGTTTCAGGCCTGAAAATAAATTTCCATAAGAGTATTGTGTGTGATGTTGGAGTGCTTGAGCAAGTGGTGGAGGAGTGTGCAACTAGACTTCACTGCACAAGACATAAGTTACCTATTCTTTGTCTTGGGATGCCTCTAGGTGCCAATCCCAGAATGAAGAAAACATGGTGACCTGTCATTGATAAGATGAATGCTAGATTAGCCTCTTAGAAAAGGAAGTTGCTATTTTTTGGTGGGCGGTTCACCCTCATTAAATTTGTTTTATCCAACCTTCCTGTGTACTATTTATCTTTATTTAAGCTATCACAATCAGTAGTGAAGGAAATTGAGAGCATTCAAGTAGCTTTCCTTTGGGAAGGATCTGGTTTAAAGAGGAAGATCCATCTTATCAAATGGGAGGAGGTTACCAAACGAAAGGATCAAGGATGGCTGGGCATTAGAAGAATCAAAGATGTGAATGACTGTTTGTCAGTTAAATGGTGGTGTTGTTTTGGTTCTGAAGATAGTACTCTGTGGAAAAGAGTCCTATATAGTAGGTATCAGTCTATGTGTGGGTGTTGGCTTCCTTGTACAAACTATAGTGGCAGCTATTCATCATTATGGGGTGAGATTTTGAATATTGGTCAGTCAAACCCTTTTTACTGAGCCTTTTTCTGGATAATTCACAGATAGTTATGGGGAATGGGTGTAGAGTTCATTTTTGGGATGATCATTGGCTGGGGAATTATTGTATCAAGAGTGATTTTCCTAGGCTCTACTGTTTATCATCTCAGAAGGATTTGTCTTTGAGCATGATGATTAAAAGGAGAAGGAACTTGGGTAGTTGGAACCTCAATTTCAGAAAGCCCTTATTTGTTTGGGTGTCTGAGGAGTTGGCAAGATTATACTCTGTTATGAATCAAGTGGAGTTGATGACTTCAAGTAAGGAGGATCATTTGAAGTGGATGGCATGTCAATCAGGTCAATTTAGTGTCTCTTCCCTCTATAATTTGTTAGTTCCTACAAATTCTGTGCTAGTTACTAAGCTGCTGTGGAATACTGTGCCTGCACCAAAAGCCCAATTCCTTAGTTGGTTGGCTTGGAAGGGGAGATTGAAGATTGCTGGGTTTTTACGTCACATTGGTGTGCTGAATCAGAATACTTCTGTCAATTGTGTGTTCTGTGGTCAAGCCGTGGAAATAGTAAACCATGTTCTTCTTTGGTGTCCTGTTGTTTGGAAAGTGTGGTCATGCCTCATGAATTGGTAGGGGATGCACTGGGTAATACCTGATAATGTTAATGGGCTACTGCAGTGGTGAAGGGGTTATAAATGGAGAAAGTTCGAAAATAAAATTTGGAAGGCCATTCCGATGGCTGTCATGTGGTCATTATGCGAATTATGCGAATTAGAAATGATGTGGTCTTTAACGGGAGAATCTTCCAGTTGGATGAATTATGCGAATTGATTAAGGTGAGAATTGCCTTTTGGGTTAAATCTCTATCAAAGGAGCCTCCGTATTCAGTTTAGGATATTATTATTAACTTGCAGCATATCAGAGCTATCGGTTACTAGACATTGTATCTGTATGTTGGGGGTGTGGGTGTTCTGCAAGGTAAGTATGCAGCTATCTGTCTATGCATTGTTCTGGTTTGGAAGTATTGCTGCTGTTTATTCTGAGTATGCTGGTTTTGCGATTTCAAGACCTATTTGTAGAGACTCATGAGCTGTGGGTGTTGAACCGAACTGTATTTGTTGTTTTATAAGGTTTGCTGGTAGCATATATATGCTATCTTTCCTTTGGCATGGATCTCCAATTACAAGCATATGCTCTTTTTATGTCTTTGTAATGTTAACAGAGGATGCATTGGTGGAGGTTAAGATGGTTTTGAGCTTGGGAGTGAGGCTGCTGTGCCTATGAGTAGGGTGAGCTGCAGTGGAGGTTAACACATTGATGGTCAGGTATAAATATGAAGGACAAGGTAATGGAGGAATTTGTGACATAGGGGAGTTAAGTTGCTGTTGTATTTGAGGCTACTGTATTTGTAAGCATTGATGCAGGCTTTGTTATCCTGTCTTCTTCCTCTCTTCTTTTTGGTTGCTCTTTATTGGTTCCCATCGGAGAGGTGCAGGTTCAGCTGTTGTTTAGCTCATTGGTTCTGGTGCTGGGATTGAGGTGTTGCTGATGCAAATATGTTGTTGAAGCTGTTGTACTGCTGTTGTTTTCTCTAGCAGTGTTGGTGTATTATTGCACTGCTGATGGTGTGTTGTTTATTTATCTCGTTTTGGTTGCTTTTGATTGGTTTCTCACCAATCTTGGGTTGCGCTAGCATATGATTGTGCTTCCTTTGCGGTGCCAACCTAGTTAGGATTGTTGAAGTTAGCTATGATGCTCTGTGCATTTCCCCGCTTTGTTGATGTAAACTTTGCGTGTATATTGTTTTTTATCAATAAAGCTTTTTTGCTGATAAAAAAAAAAAGAGAAGTTATAATCTATAATCTATTTTAACAGCTACACTAAACGGGGCCTAAAAGTTCTAATAGCTCTAATTGGTGTGTGAGTCTCATATAATGTGATGTTTTTTTTTCTTTTTTTGCATCATTAGTACACTTTTAAAACTTTCAAATTAGAGGAATGTATTATTTCTGTTAAATAATTTCCCTGTAGCAGCACATGGTTGGCCTGATGGCCTTGGACATCAGCATCAATCAGTGACTGTGCAGCAGGACATGGTTGACCTAATGGCCTTGGATATCATCATCAATTCAAATGGTATCAAATTGTATTGATAATTAAAGTTTCGTTTCACATTGGTTAATATAATTTATTTATTTTATATTGAGACTTTTTTAATTTAATTTTTTTTAATCTTATTTAGTTTGAATTTTTTAATTTTTATGAAAGAAAAAATATAATGATTGTAAGTTGAATGTGATATTTTATCTTATTAATTTATTTAACGTAAATTATTATTTTATACTTTTTTAACCCAAAATAATAGCCACACCAAGGTTCAAGTAACAAAGGACACATGCTTCAAGGATGTCATATTTCTAAAAATAAATAATAAAAAAATAAAAAAAGTAACTCAATAAAGTCTGGATGGAAGTTACGATTTGTTTTTTAATTTTTATTTTATGGAAATTATGAACAATGAAATTATAATGTATATTTTTAAACAATCCCGCTAGGTAGTTCAAAAAATTAGAGCTTTGAGTGGCCTGAAATCACAAAGCGACGTCATTTTGCCTTTTTCTTTTTTTCTTTTTTTATTTTCTTCTTTCTTTCCATAACTCGCAAAAGAAGAAGAAGAAGAGAAAGGAGAGAAGAGGAAAGAAATAGAGCAGAGAGATTTAAACCCAAAAATCAAAAATCAAAAATCAAAACCAATACAAATCAAATTCACAAATCCATGAAAGACACACACACACACACACATACATATACAGATCCGGAAAATCAAAAGCCAAATTCATGAAACACACACACGCATTTATACCTATATATACTTATCCATTTATACCTATATATAAGGAACATAAAATTATTAAAAATAAAAAAAAAATCCACACAAATTGGGTCATCCATCCCCTCTTTGAGCAAGAGCACAGAGATGACAAAACTCAAAAGAGAAAGAACATATTAATTTATAACACATACTAGTAGGAAGTTGTATAGTATTAGACAATCGGCATAGCATAGCAATATGTCCATAGCCTTCTCTCAGCAAAGCTTGCTAATCAATGCTCTCACTCCATCCCACAAACCCAACAACAAGAAGAACTTGATTCCTTTGAATTCCATACCCATCCATGAAACATACACACACACACACACACACACACATATATATAGAAAAAGAGAAGAGAAGAGGAGAGAAGATCGCCGACAGTGTAGCAGTGATAGAAGAGGAAGAGGCGACGGCAGCGACGTGAGAAGATCAGCTCCCCCTCCCTCTTCTCTCTTCCTTTCTTCTTTCTTCCTCTCTCTTCTCTTTCACTCTCTCTTCCTCCCTCTCTCTGTTTCATAGATAAAAGAGAGAGGGGAAAAAAAAAATCAAAACGACGTCGTTTTGAATTTAGGCCACTCGAGCCTCAGAAATTTCGAGCTTTGAAACATTTTTCATTTTTAAAATTACGACGTTGGTAGATTAAAAAATAAAATTTCGATTTAATTAATCTAAACTAAAGGTTCCTATTAAATTATGAATGTTTAATTAATAATTTAATATTTAAAAATATGATAAAAGTACAATTTAAGGTAAAGCATCAATAAATTTTAAAAAGTGATTTTATGAACTGTTTAGTTATTCTTTTTTTCTTATGGTTTCAAAAGTTTCATTTTAATGTGAATTACATAAATAGCCAAAATGTGAGTTTTCTCATAATGTTGAAATTTCAAAAAAACTTTTTAGTACTTTTTCCAAATGTAACACTTCAATATAATACTCAAAAAACATAACATTCTAATGTAACACGGTAAAAAAAAAAAAAATTTAATTTTTTCAAATGTAACACTCTAATCAATATAACACACAAAAACTTTTTACCCAAACGTAACACTCCAATCAATGCAACACATAAAAACTTCTTAATGTACTTTTTCCAAATATAGTACCCTAATGTAACACTCCAATATAACACCAGAAAATCACGCTACAGAAAATATAGATTTTCATGCTTGACAACCAATACTTCAACCAATAATTCCTCCAAAAAGAATCTTTTACACCTTACCTTTCCATTTCCACGCTAAAAATGAAGAAATTAGAAAAATGAATCATAAAAGGCATTTACTTAAAGTCAAATGGTACCAAATCAAATAAATATGGCTTTTCAAAACAAAAAAGACTAATTGATTCATAAAAAAAAATTCAGGACTAAATGGATCAACATTCTCCCATATAAAATTTATGAATAAATTTTCCTACTATTTAGTTAATGTGTTGCTGTGACTGGTTTAAATTTTATTTTGTATTTTAAGTTTAATTTTTTTTTAATTTTATTTTGTTGTAATCTAGATTTATTAAATCATAAAGCAATAACATGTATTTTTAGATTTTTTAATTATTATAATGCTTTCTTTATATCTTGATCTATATATAAATAAATTTAGTTTATAGGAGTAAAATACAAACATACCTCATAAGATTTGTTTAAAATACAAATTTTTTCCTATAATTTTGAAACTACACTAATCACCGGTTTTAATAAAAGGAGTATTAGTAATTTTAAAATTATAAGAAAAAATTTGTAGTTTAAGCAAATCTTATGAGGCGTGTTTGTATTTTACTCCTAAAATTATACACTAAATTTATTTATATAGATGAAGATAAAAAGAAAGCATTATAATAATTAAAAATCTAAAAATACGATGTTATTGCTTTAGATTTGTGGGACATTCAACAGAACCATCAACAAATTGCAGTAGATTTGTGGCTCTGAGTATATTTTGGAATTGATTCTTCCAAACAATATAATTCGATGAATCCAACTTGACAGTAACAAAAGAATTCAGATTCAAAATCAAGAGTGTGAGATTCAAAGGAAGAGGAATTGAAGAATCCTCCATGAACGCCATTAAGCTAAGCTCGTTAGAGCACAAGCACTGGTATCATGAAGAAGATATGAAACTATTCATTCATTATTTCAAAAGAGTATACTCACTCTGTTTATATACATCAGTAAAGAATCAATAACCAACTATATCTATTCTATATCTAACACACTCTAATTAATTCAGTTACATAAACAGAATAGGGCTTTGATATGCTACAACACAGCCGTATCAGTTCTGGTAAATATATTGAAAGGCTTAATCGATGCCTTAATTTCTAGGATGTCATGCCCATGTTTTTAGTCTCTTTAATCTTTATTAGTTCTTCAAATCGCGAATGATATGTAATAACACAATGTTTCAATGATAGGGAGAAAGATAGCGGCTGAAAGTTGCATTGGAGGCATGAAGGAGACACAAGAGATGATAGATTTTGTGACAAAACACAATATAGCGGCAGATATTGAGCTGATACCGATGGATTACGTGAACACTGCAATGGAGCGCCTTGGGAAAGTCGATGTTAGTTATCGATTCGTGATTGATGTATGGAATACATTAATACTGTGTTTGGTTGGGAGATTTAGGAAGGAATTTGGAAAGAAAAATGGAAAAGGTAGGTAAAATGTGAATAAATCATACTTATATTTTACATAATTTCACACACATTTTTTCTTTCCTTTTCCAAATCCCTCCTCAAATTCCTCAACCAACTGAGTGAGCAGATGCGCGTGTGTGGTGATTTTTGGGTCCAATGGGTCTAGCCCATAACCTCTCCCTCTAAACCACTTGGGTACCCCTTGGGACACACCCCAAGTATCTCACCCAAGCCTTATAAACCCTTTCAAAACCTCCCACCAAATCAATGTGGGACAAGCCAATTTACAACCTTAAGGAATTTCCACCAAAACTCCATTTTCATGGAGCACACTTTGGCTTCAATTTCCAATTCACTCGGTAATGGTTTTGAGCAACCAAATATACCACGTGAATCACAACGCGGCATAGAACGTGTTACCACTTTGACCCGAGTTAATCGACACTCGGGGCCCACCTAAAAAATAGACCTAACTTAGGAAAAATTAACCATTTCCAACAAATATAACCATAGAAAAAAACTATGCGAGTATTCGTTGTAATTTTTTGTGTTAGAATTTCTTGTACCTAACTTTTCTTGAGCATAAATATATTGAAAGGCTTAATCGATGCCTTAATTTCTAGGATGTCATGCCCATGTTTTTAGTCTCTTTAATCTTTATTAGTTCTTCAAATCGCGAATGATATGTAATAACACAATGTTTCAATGATAGGGAGAAAGATAGCGGCTGAAAGTTGCATTGGAGGCATGAAGGAGACACAAGAGATGATAGATTTTGTGACAAAACACAATATAGCGGCAGATATTGAGCTGATACCGATGGATTACGTGAACACTGCAATGGTGCGCCTTGGGAAAGTCGATGTTAGTTATCGATTCGTGATTGATGTATGGAATACATTAATGCTGTGTTTGGTTGGGAGATTTAGGAAGGAATTTGGAAAGAAAAATGGAAAAGGTAGGTAAAATGTGAATAAATCATACTTATATTTTACATAATTTCACACACATTTTTTCTTTCCTTTTCCAAATCCCTCCTCAAATTCCTCAACCAAACATAGCATAAAGGCAGCCTAATCTTCTAGCCTTGGCTTTTGAATTTCGCATTTTTTTTAGGTGTGTCTTGTCTTGTTAGATAAGAGTCTTTTACACTTATTTCCCATCTTTCGTTCTTCCTGTGATTTAGCACTCCAAGTTTTAGTAGTTTATCTCATTTTGAATAAATCATATTATGCGGGTAAAAAATCATACCAAATTGAGAACTGTTTTTCTTGAGGTTGAGAAGTGACACTGAATATTTTTTTTTTTTTGATAACTGAGTGTCCGGGCCAGCTTTCGCGCACCT